GAGAAGAAAAATTTTTGGTCGCTACCTGGATTCGAACCCGGGACCTTTGAATGAGAGGCCAACACCTTAACCTCTAGGCCACGAGAGCCCCCCTCTATATCAAGATATCTATTATCTATTTGTGGTGGCCGAATTCTGCTATTCTAAAGGCTTTTTAATGGCTGCATCGATCGACATGCGGTTTTCGCCAAAAGATTTTAAAAAATGTTCTCCAGATCATGACGCCCTTCGTTTTTTTCAGTTTTGAGACAGTTTTGCTGCAAAAAGCTAAATTCCTTTATTTCGCCGATCGCTTTTTTAGGCCGACGCTTCTGTCTCTGTAATTTTAGAAAAGGAGGTTTCCGTTCACTAACCGAGCGCATTGTTTTGAGAGTATAGATCTAGAATCTAAACCTTCTAATTTTGCACCATAAATATCATAAGCCAAAGACTTTCGGCTAACGTTAATGCACCGATCATACCTGTCATCGAAAGGGGGCCCAGATAAGTAATATATAAAAGTGGACTTGGGAGGCTTTGTGCACGATTAAACTCTTCCCTTATTGCATAACCCACACCGTTAAAACTTTGCAGGCGTCCACAGCGCCCTTGTGGCTAGGACCTAACTTTGAAAAATCTACGCAAACTGCTTTCCCCGATTTTTCCAAAATGCTTTGTTTCGTCCACACAGAGTTCTAGGCCTAGGCTAACTTAGTATCAACAATTTTGCAGTCTCATTTATAAAAAACAGGAAGTGAGGTTTCCGTTCACTGGCAGTGCGCATTGGTTCCACACCTTTGAAATTCGGGAGTGTACAACCACGAAAGCGGAATAGAGAATCAATCTATATATCTATTATAATAATATATTTGGCAACTTGGAAACACATGAATGAGTCACTTTTCTCTCAAGATTTATTGCTCCATTCCAATAGAGTGTAAATATAGAAGGCCAATGACTTTCAGTTGATCTTAATGCATCGATCATTCCTTTCATCGAAAGGGAACCCAGCTAGTAACAAGATAATTCACTCTTCTCTTAGTTGAGCCAAATAAAAAAGTTTCCTCAAAATTCGGTGGCGCCCTCTTTAAAAAAGCGCAGACTTTTGTGAACTGAGTTACCCTACTTGTGTGAAAAACAACAAAAGCGAAACTAACAAACTGTGCTATTCCTATTCTTCTTCTTGAGAAACGAAAGAGAGCTTAAAAACTAAGACTGCAGCGCCCTCTGACCCAATGCACGGACTTCCGCGGACACTTTTTTGGCCGAGTGAACTACAGTCGAACATGCCCTGACGGCCACCTCTATAAG